CTTGGTTGTGGATACAATTAGAAAAAGTCCTTTTCTGACGGCGAACATTACTAAAGCATATAATTGCTTCTTGTGAACACCATAGTTTACATTCTGATGAGACTACTTCTATATTTGAGAGTAGCATATCGAAATATTTGGAAAAATGCTAATAAGCTGGCATTTGAAGCATGCAGATCAGTATTGACCATAAATTGGGGCATTCAGTTCAGCAGCTTGACCCTCGTCGAATTCAACGATGTATCCGAATTACTTGGTATGAAATCTGGCTAGGCCTCTTATGCTTTCCAGATATGTGAGTGTATCGAAGTCATTTGACCTCGTTCTCCTAACTTTGTCAGGTTTTCAGCGAGATTTATGTGAATTTCGGATCGTTTAAGGGAATATTTTACTGTTAAGTATGCCCCAACTACTATTCAATCATTCGAATGTGATATCAACTTGGATAATGTAGAGGCTGAAAATTATCGTGACTAGTGTGGATGAGGAATTCGGATAGGGTGCTCTGACAGACCAATAAATTGTGAACGCGAATTGTGAAACGAAAAGAGACCTTGACTAAGATAAGGGTCACGTCATTTTGCTCTTTGTAACGTAAAGAAGTGTATCATTTATTCTGTGCCAATAAGTCACAAATCTCTCTGCTTGACTGAACAGACTTTGTGGACTTCGAGACTGCGCCACATTCGCCCGAAAAGTAACTGCATGTTTAGGAGCTGAGCAGTCCTCAACTGTAGTATTTTCCTATAAAGCTGTAGGTTAAGTCTCGTCAACGGAGTCCAGTTTTGATGGTTTACATGCATTCGTTTACATGGTGATGAGATAGCGAGGATCTGGAGTCGATGGCTCTATCATTTTGTATGCCTATAGCACCTACAGGAAGGTGCAGTTTTGGTAGAAAATGCATCCTCTTTGGAATTTTTCCTTTAGGCCATTAATGGTAATTCGCAATTGGGATATTTCTCTGGCAAGTTGAAGTGTCGGCTAAAGGCCTAACAATTCAGCCCTAAGGATGACACTCCTTAAATGTAAAATAAGTTCATTTTGTTTACATTTGTACATTTATTTACGTAGCAACGGAAGTTTGTTGTTGATGCTGATATTAACCGACATTAGAATTGATAAAATTTGTAAAAAATATTTTCATTTATACAAGATCTCTTGGCTTTAGACAGTTAGAAGAAGACGTCTGAATAGAGTTTTTTACAAATTAAAAAAAAATCCTTCTGATCTCAAATTTTATTGTCTCTTTCCTTCACGCTCTACTTTCTCTTAGGTCCAATCGCGCGGCTCAGATGGTCGCTATGGCAAGCCGAGTACTGTTTTTCCGCTACCGGCCGAGTTTCCGTCAGAGAACGCTGAACACTCCGTTCGGGAGCTGCAGTGCACTGTCCTGAACACCAGCGTCAAGATCACATGGCAGAAGCCGGTTATTACTGACAAACTGGATGCCTACAATGTACGTCCATCAATCACCTTGTGATATGAGGCTCGAATTCTTAGTCCAATCCTCTTGATAATACTTCATATCGGCTCAATGTCAGTTTACAAGTGGTTGCCAGGGCGACCTATATGAACGCACCTTGTCGGAAGTCCTCTGTTCGAGTAGTCATGATACATTTTGGCGTCCGAGTGTGGACTTGGTATATCAAGTCAGCAAATAGACACGTGAATTGCATCCTTTAGTTGACTTTCCATCGAAAAATAGTGTCCTTACTCCTTCTGTCCTAGTACATCTTGATACAGCTTGGTACCAAGATTGGCCAAACTCACTGATACGTGCGCGGGCCAACCCCGGCAATTATCCTGTTTACTCTGACAGAAGACTTTGGACAAGGTCGCCTTGACAACATA